CTTCATTCTAACTCTGCTCTTTAAGTTTTGTTTTTTTTACTTTTCATGTATAAAAGTCTTTGTCCAATTTATAAGTTCTTATATTTTATCAAATTTCTGGACCTATAATGAATGTACATATATAGTATTAACGATATCTTATGCTTGTTTCTTGGTAGTGAAAACTGTTAGAATGCTATATATTTGCTGTGGTATCAGGGCGCAATTTTACATATGAACAAGTGAGGAAGAATCTTATGATAACTAAATCATCAAAGATTATGTTATCATACTTTCTTGTTTACATGTAAAATGTGCCTGATCACTTTATGCTTGTTTCTTGGTAGTGAAAACTGTAAAAATATTTATCTGTTTGCTGTGCGATCAGGCGTATTTCACATATAAACAAGCAAAGAAGAATCTTATGATAACCGCATCAATCGAAGATTCTGTTATCATAACATTCTCCCTTGCTTGTTTATATGCCTCATCCCAAGGAAGTAGATAGACATGACAGAGACATTTTCACAGTTTCACTACCAAGAAACAAGCAGAAGATAGCATTGCCAGACACACTATGCTATTAACCAGAATTGCTCCATATATTTATATTTCATAATTATAGAACAGTATTTTTCTTTTTGTGTGTATGCGACTGTAGTAAATACAAAACAATTACAAAATCATATTTATTCAATTAAATATTTATAATTATACATTGTTAAACAATTACATATTATACACTGAGGACAACTTGTTTCTCGGCTCAAAATCTCATAAATTACAATTAATACCGGGACAATATATATTGAGCAAATGAAAAAGGTTATACAGATGTGTCACAGTTAATTTAAATTTTTGTTGTGTGGCTTTTTGCATTATAAACTATTTCTTAATATGAATTTAAGTGAATTTTTAAAGAACTTTAGTTTGGTCAAATATGAATCCGCAGTATGGATCTTTTCATGTTACTTTTTGATGAATGTCTTTTATTACATAATGTACACTTATGTGGGCGTTCTGCAGTGTGCACTTTTAAGTGTTTTCTCAAGTAGTCTGATTGGTAAGGTTTTACTGCACATTGCACAAACATTTTACAGATTGTTTCTGCTCATGTCGATTTAGTGAGTTTTTTTCTTGAAAATGTTTTATTGCATAGTTGACAACTCTAAGGACGATTTATAGTATGCATAATTTCGTGATACTTTAAATCTTTTTTTGTTTTGAACGTTTTTATTGCATATTTCGCATTTATATTGGCCTACACTAGTATGGACCACTTTATGTCGATTCAATGTGCTTTTTGTTGCAAATGTTTTATTGCATATTTGACAGCAAAAAGGACGATTGCTAGTATGAATAAGCTTATGATACTTTATGGTGCGTTTTGTTTTGAATGGTTTGATTGCTTATTTTGCCTGTATATGGGCGTGCCTAGTATGGACCACTTTATGTCTATTCAATGTGCATTTTCTTGCAAATATTGTTATTGCATATTTGACAGCAATAAGGATGATTGCCGGTATGAATAATTTGATGTCGGATCATGCATCGTTTTGTTGTGAATAGTTTATTGCATATAGAACATTTATGAAGATTTTTGCCAGTGTGGATTCTGTTATGTATATTCAATAATCGTCTTCTTCTTAAAGTTTTATTACATAATTCACAAGTTAATGCATTTTCAAGCTATGGGCTGTATTACGTTTTTCATAAACGCTTTCAAATGATTCATTTGTATTATCTAATAAATTACTTGGGAAACTTTCCTCATTATGTATGTAAGATTCTTCATCTATTATTGTTTCATCTGCTGTAGTACCAGCTTCTTGCTTTATTTCTTCCTCGAATGTCATCTCAGAGTTTAGAAATCGTTTCAGATATATGTCATCTTTTTTCTGGACAAATATTGTCATAATCATTTAATTCTTGTTTCACACTGAGGACAATAATCATATTCTTGTTTAACTAGAGGATAATCATCAAATGCTTGTGTCACTTGAGGATAATAATCAAATTCTTGTGTCCTTGAGGACAATAGTCAATTCTTGTGTCACTTGAGGACAATAAACAATTCTTGTGTCACTTGAGGACAATAATCACTTCTTGTTTTACATGTGAACAATAATCAAAATCTTGTTCCACTTGAGGATAATCCATTGGTTCAATTTTAATTGTTGTATTTGAGTTTGCTTCTTCAGCCATTTTCAGGTTTTGTTGATTCTGTTAACAAACTAATAACGACTGATGAAATGTTGTAGATGTTTATTACCTGTTTCTTGTAAGTGAATAATAAATATGATTTAATGTATATGTATAATTGGTTTGGTTTGAATACAATATAATTCCATATAAAACAATTTTGTTCAATTTTATTTTTCACCATTCTTACCTCGCAGTTGTACTAAATCAGGTTGGACAACATTGAAAATATTTTTACCTGCGAGTTTAGGCGCGGAAAATTATTTTACCTCTAATTTCTTACTTGTTGTTTGTATTAATATTTTTATTGTTGCAAATCATATTTTAATATTGTCTAGGATTCTAGATATTCTAATATTTTCTAAATCTAGTTCAGGCGCTATAATATTAGAACAAATCCGCGTCCAGAAGGGTTATAGTTGGGGGGTCATATTGTTGTCGTAAATTTGGCGCTAGTGAGCCGATGAAAAGTATTGTCAAATGTTCTATGTTGGTTACTAAGAAACGTCTTCCTCAATATTGTCTTCCCAGACAATGTGTACGAATCCGTACGGCGAATCTGTTCGCAATGTGCGCAGACTAAATTATTGCAAGCAATAGCAAATCTCGCGCATGACAAAAGCAGGATTCGCCGTACGCGTTCGTGCAGTGGAGCGCACCAGCGCACCATAATGGTTACTTTTGTGTCATTGACAGAATGTGTTTCTTTATTTCGTTCGTGTTTGTACATTTGTTAATAAAGAGTTCATTAAGAATTGTTATAAAAAGCAGCATCGGCAACGCTAATTCAATTTGATAAAATACTATATAATTTTCTACTCCAATATTCTACTGTAAACTAAAGTTAATAAGTCTCTCAATTAGTCCGTCTGTCTGTCGTTCTGTAAACTTTGTAGTTGTTGATGTAGAGACTGTCCGTAGGTTTCAGATGTGTTTTGTTGTTCAGTATAATGTGCAGATCGTATTTTGTTATCGTCTGTCTCTGTTCGTCAACATTGTTTTTAAGTCTATTTGAAATGCATTATTTGTAAGTATTGTGCTTGATTTATGGGGATGATGTAAGAAAGTTTTAAATTGTTGTGTATTTGTCGTTATAAGTCATGTTTGTGTTTAGTGTTTTTGTCAGCTAGTTAATATATATAAATGAAAAGATAATAAAATTCTCTGTAACATCATAATACAACAACACCATGTTGCTATATTAAAAATAAATAAAAAAATACTCAAACTTTGACTTTCATTCCACAGCCCACGTAATGGAACCAAAGTAATGTAGTGTTTATTGTATATTTCATACTATTTATACATTTCATTACATGCAAGGAAATTTTACAATATTTAAATTTAAGTAAACAAATGTGCTTATATTTCATTGACTTTCAACACGCTTCTGACTATGAAGTGCCATATGTATCTTCAAATTTTCTGATTGAGTAAATTGCTTATTACATACTTTACATTTATAAGAATGCTCTTGTTTATGAACATTCAGAATGTGTCTTTTCAGATGACCTTTTTCTGTGAATGTTTTTTTGCATATATTGCATTCATACGGGCGTACTCCACTGTGTGTCAGGATGTGACGTTTCAGATGACCTGATTGTTGAAATTTCTTTTGGCATATATTGCATTCATGAGGACGTACTCCTTTGTGCATCAGCATGTGATTTCTCAGAACACTTGATTGTGTGTATATCTTATTGCATATTTTGCATTCATGAGAGTGCTCTCCACTGTGAATGCGCATGTGGCATTTTAGATTACTTAAATGTGTGAATGTATTATTGCATATACTGCATTTATGGAGACGCACACCACTATGAATGAGCATATGACTTTTCAGATTACCTAATAGTGCAAATGTCTTTTTGCATATATTGCATTCATGGGGACGTACTCCACTGTGAATAAGCATGTGACTTTTCAGATTACCTCTTTCTGTGAATGTCTTGTTGCATATATTGCATCTATGGGGACGTACTCCACTGTGTATCAGCTTGTGACTTTTCAGATTACTTAAATCTGCGAATGTCTTATTGCATATATTGCATTCATGGGGACGCACTCCACTATGTATCAGCATGTGTCTTTTCAGACTATCTGATCGAGTAAATGTCTTTTTGCATATATTGCATTCATGGGAGCGTATTCCATTGTGAATGACCATGTGTCTTTTCAGATAATTTATTGTTGCGAATGTCTTTTTGCACGTACTGCATTCATGAGCACGTTCACCACTGTGAATGAGCTTGTGCCTTTTCAGATTACGTAACGAACTGAAAGTCTTATGACAGATTTCGCATTTGAAAGGACTTTCTTTGCTATTATTAGAAATATGATCGGCCATATGTTCTTTTAAATGATCTGATTCTGCGAAAGATCTATTGCAAACGTCACATTCATAAGTTGGTGTCTCGACTAACTCGTGTTTGACTTCTTCTTCAATTGTCACCTCGGAATTCATAAATCTTTCTAAACACGTATCATCATCTTCGGAAAACGATTCAGATTTAACAATAACGTCGGGATCATCAAAATCATTTTCCATTTCGAGTTTAATGTCTTCTGGTGAATATTCTGGTGGTTCAATTTTAACTGCCGGATCATTCATAGACATAATTGTTTCCTCCGACATTTTTAAATATTTTCACTGCCCAAAAAAACAAAAAAAAAATAAGTTAGTTGTGTACTAAATAATAGCCTAGTTTCATCAATAATTTTTCTGAATGTCATAAATAATTTCAACATTTACATTATTATTTGACAGTATGAGTTAGGCTATGGTTAGGCCATATACTCTTCTTTTATTTATGAGTTAGGCATAGATAAATAATGGATAAATAAGCATAGCATGTAGTTAGGGGTCACATTGTAGTCGCATATTTGGCGCTAGTGAGCCGATGAAAAAATAGTTTCAAATGTTTTATGTTGGTTACGTTGGAAACGTCAGTGTTATTTTTGTATAAATTGACAAAATGGTGATTCTTTTTTTATTATTATTATTTTAATAATTTTTATAATTGTCCTGAAACGGACAAGTAAAATATTTGACATGAAACTGAAGGCGTTGGGAAAATTCAAATCATCATGACCATTGCCAGTGATTTGTCGAAGGTTTTATCTATTGTTGATTAATGCAGAAGAAATTTTCTTTTTAATCGGGCCCTGGTAGAGCTGTACTGAAGTTTTCTGGCGAGCAAGTTCGGGTGATAAGCTAGGCGATTTCTATATTTGTGTGAGTAAGCGATTATTTCATCCTTAACGGGGGAAGTCCATATAACATTTTCAAAAAATTGAATTTTTTTTCGATAATCTGCAAGTATAGTATGTTGAGCGTATATTGACGAGTCGAGAAAAAAAAATTTCTTATATTAACAAAGTTATAGCGATCAAGCGTATAGCAAAAATTTCAAGTGAAAGGGTCTCTTTCATTATAATAACTAGAACTACTTCTTTTGTCCTACAACTGGAAGACTTCTATGTACCTTAGTACATGTGTAATATTGGTATACGAACAAAAGTTAGTTGAGAAATATAGTTAGTTTAGCTGGAAAATTCGTAGTGTTTAGTCTACCTTATCAAAAGCCTGACAAATATCGAGGAAAACAGCTGAACAGTAGTTCTTGTTTTGGTAAGCCTTGTTTATATTGTCGACAATTTTATGAATTTGCTCTGGTGTGCCATGTTTTTTAAAAAATCCAAATTGATGCTCAGGGATAACGTTGCTATAATAAATAAAGGGTTTTATTTTACTTATTAAGACCTTTTCAAATATTTTGGATAACGTTGGTCTATAACTTTCGACTTCGTTCGGATTTTTACCTGGCTTCGGAATAATTATGATTTTAGCAATTTTCCATTGATCGGGATATGATTTAAGTCTTATTATACCGTTAAACAGGATTGTTATGAAACGGTAGGCTTTGTAGGGAAGTTCTTTAAATGTGTTAATATTAATGTTGTCAACGCCAGGTGCTTTTGCAGATTTGCTCTTCGGATTTTATTTCTAATTTATGGAACTTTGATTATGATGTTTGATGAAAAATATGACTGAACTTCTTTCAAAGAATCAAAAATAAATTTTTCTTCTTGTTCCGAGGATTTTGAGGAATTTGACGTAAAAACTTCCTTGAAGTAAGTTGAGAAATATTCTGCTTTTTCTAAATCACTGCATGCCCAAGTGTTATCCGGTTTTCTAATTGAAGGTATAGTGATGGCAGGACGTTTTAAGTTTTTTGTGGCTTTCCCAATCGAATGATCTGCTATTGTTAAATGGGATAAAAAGTCTTGAAATTGGTCGTTTTTGAACGTTGTTATCTGTTGTTTAATCAATTTAGACATTCTGTTCAATTGCGTTTTGTCTTGTAGAGATCTGGTTAGCTGCCATCTTTCTCTTAGCTTCCTTTTCTCTTCAATAAGAGCTTTGGTGTCTATGGAGCAAGTGTGGATTTTCTTTTTAATTTGTGAGGGGGGGGGTACTTTTTCTAGTTGCGTCTGTTACAATTGTACTAAAGGGTATGGGCGTGTTTCCATACAGAATTGGCCCCACCATGGCATTTAAATAATTTTGATGCCATTTTATAGGTATTTTTGAGAAAATCCGATATACCAAATTTCAAATCCGTAGCTCATCATTTGGCCGAGATATCATTGAAAATGTGTGAAAGTGGCCCCTTTTTTTCAAAGTCGTTTTTTGTCGCAACTGTGGAAAATATTGACAAACCATTAACGCCTTTCTATTCACATCGGTTTGTACTATATTATCAATGACAAATTCAAGGGCTATTCAATTTTCTTTTACTGCCCTAAATTTTGTTTTATTTCAAGTGGTAGAACACATCCAAAAGTGGAAAAAACAAACTAGATAGCATTGATTAGATAGCATAATAACTATTAAATGGCGAGATAATAAAGAAGAATGTCTCCGTAAATCCTAGGAATTTAGTTTTATCTCAATTTGGATATCAATATATATATTTTTCGTTTTTAGGATTATTTTGTCTGAGAAGTATTCGTTCTTTTTTAAAAATTTGCTGTTCTTTTTATCCTTTTAAATTTTTGCATTACTTGTCATTTCTTCTAAATTTGTCATTCCATCGTCAATACTCCTGTGCTTTTCACTTCTTAGTTTTTAAGTGTTTAATATATTATTATTAGTCATTAAGTAATTAATATTAATAAGTTATTTCTCTTTAATTTGTAGTACTTTAAAAATATTTCTGTAATATACTTTAATTAATAGTAGTAAGTTATTTCTGTTTAGTTTATAATTCTTCAAAAATATGTTTGTGATGCATTTGAAAATATATTTTGTATTTCGTATGTTTTGTTCTTATTTCAAATATTAAATTTTTTTCAGATTTTTTGTCCGTATTGATTATATGTACAAATGTAGATGTAATACCAGGGGTTAATTTACATACTGTATGTACATGTGCTGCCATGTTGTGATCAATTCGTAAATTAAAATGGGTGTAACGTCAAATCGCCCGAGATAGCGATCTATTATATTTATGCTTATTTATTTATGCCTACAGGTAAGTAGAAATGTTAGTTTTTAGTCAGAATAAAGCTTTCTAACATCTTATTTCAGTTTTATATCGAATTACTTTTATAATAAACTGAAAAATATTGTAGTATGATTTTGTTCTCTTTAGCGTTCGGTTGTGATATATTTGGAAATTAAAATGGCTAACATAATTAAAATTCCAGTGATGAAGAATATTCATTCTCTTGTGAAAAACAAGTTATAATAGATACATTTGATTTGTGTAAAGAATCATTATTCAAATTAAAAAATATTGTTGGAATTTCAAGTGCGAAAAAATATCTTGAGTGTCAACTCAACTTTTTGTTGGGTTTCATTTTGTTCAAGTGAGCAATCAATTACTTCTGTCAGGACTCCCGTTCGCAGCCATGCCTCGAGATCCGTTAGAGCAGCATCTGATTGGGTCGTCTCAACTAGCGATCGCGACAAATTTGAAAGTCTTCCTTGATCTCAGAGTTGGACTGATTTTTGACATAAAATATCGAAGGAAAAATGTTAATTTATTTGAAAATTTTGAACCGACTTTATACAAGTTTTTATTAATTTTATGTTATTTAGTTTCATTTATAATTCTCGCTGTGCTGTACTGATGAATAGTTATATATTTTTTACAATTCATAACGCACGCTGTGCAGTACTGCCTGTAAAAATAATAATTAAACTATTTTGAAGTAAAACTTTTTTAGGCGCGATATGGGTGTAAAAACTTCTGTAGGCGCGACATGGGTGAAAATCCGTACAAATGCGCAAACGCCAACGTGAAGTTGAAGCCTACGACGCTAGTTAGCGCAGATGTAGCGAGTATCCACCGAAAGCATAAAGCATATTGTTCAAATTTCCTGTGTTATGTCAAAACTTTTGTTTAAGGTTAAATATGTAGTAGTATAAATTGTGAGTTAATAAAAAATGTCAGGATCAAAAGAATATTTTAATCTGTTCCCCATACATAATTGTAGTGCAAATAATCGCAAATAATGAAACATATGAGGAATCTGCGCTGCATTTGTATTATTTGAGTTTTTCGAGGTTATTATATACCTTTGAGGTTATTAATAAAATGGAAAATATTTTTATAAAAAGAAGTTCTACAAGCACAATTACATGATGAGTGAAATTGTGGAAACAATATTTCTTCATTGGAAATTTAACGTAAGTTTACATGTTTCTCTTTTATGATGGCTATGGAGACTAATTTTAATTTAGTCTTGAAAGTACTGCTTTATTTGAAAATCTTAAGCAAGGTATCAATTTAAATGTTAATGTCAACACCAATGAAATAAGTAAGAATCTCTTTTTGCTATTTAGTCCTGAAAAACGCTTCAACTATTCACATTCAAACATATTATTTTCTGTTATCTTTTTAGATGAAAGTACTGCTGTAACTTTTTCTGATACAGCAACTACATCATGTCAATTGCAAATTAATGATTCTGTATATATTGTGACATAAACTGATCTTTTGCAAGAGTCAATTGAAGTATTTGAACTTCCATAAAGACTTCAATTTGTTTGGGAATGCACGAAAATTGTTTGAAAAACAATTTACAAATGATAGCTTTGGCTATGTATGTTTTGTGTGTGATCGAATTTGGTTTCAAAGTGACTTAGAAATATCAAATGATGCTCAAAAACAAATTCTTAATAATGGTTTTTTGAATGTTGATTCAAATAATCAGGTCGGATGTCAAACTTGTCGAAAGGCATTAAATTTGGGTAAAATTCCCACTTTGTGTAAATTTAACGGGTTTGTATTCCCATCTATACCAAATTATCTACCTAAACTAGATACTGTATCTGAAAGGTTAATTTCAGGTAGGTTGTGTTTCATGCAAATTAGACGATTGCGACATGCAAATGGGAAATTTGGAATATTCGGACAAATTAAAAATGTGCCTGTTGACGTTGATAATATGGTTAATTTATTACCTCGTAATATTGATGATGATTATTAACGTTCACATAAAAAAGAAAATGATTCATAGATCAAGCTATGTGCAGGGCTTGATAAATAAGACAAATATAAAATTATGGCTTCAATTTTTTAGGCAAGACAGATATTATAGCTGTTCAAGGAATGAGATTATATCGTCAGTGAAAAAGTAAAAATTTAAAAACAGTAAATGAATGTATGTTAATTTTAATTACATGAAGTTCTTCAAACACAATTATTACATGATGAGTGAAGTTACGAAAACAATATTTGTTTAGGCGTTGTTTAACATAATCCACTGTGTGAACGAATATTATAGAATTTATTAATCAGCAATTACTTTAAAACGATCATGTCATATTTCAAGTATGACTTCGATTACATTATTGTTTGTAAATATTATACATATTTTTAATTCAATCATAAATATATAGTTTATAATTTATCATTATATAAATGTGTATAATTGTCGATACTAATAAATGTGTGCATCACGAGTGTTACCATATTACTAAAAAAACATTATTCCAAATTGTTATATGAAGTATTTATTTTTACTTAACTTAAATTTTCTTCTTTGTACAGTAGCAAATAAGTTTTACTTCAATCGCGTGTGATCCTTACGCGCACTCTTTTTTTTTATTGCTTCTACTAATTTTTCAAAATCGAGATACCGAGCGTTGTGGGAACACGTTGTAGGGGTACCCGCATCGCAACTCCGGCTAATTTAGGCGACACTTCCGCCGCGACATTTTTGTTACCCTTTAGGTAGGGCTTGCTTGTTTGGGTTGAGCACAGTCACCTGGGGCATACAATTTTTTTTTTGGCATACGAATAACGATACGTTTTTTTGTCTAAAATTATTTGGCCCAATTTTTTTTTGCCCAATTCTTTTTTTTGTTCAAAATATTTTTTGTCCAAAATTTTTTGGTTCAAATTTTTTTTGCCCAATTTTGTTTTTTGGCCCAAAATGTTTTTTTGTCTTTTCTTCCAATTTTTTTTATCCAAAGCAACATCGGGTAAAAAAATTTGGGCCAAAAAATTTTGGACAAAAAAAATTGTAGTCAAAAAAAAAGACAAAATTATTTGGTCCAAAATTTTTTTGCCCAATTCTTTTTTTTGTTCAAAATATTTTTTGGCCAAAAATTTTTTTTGTCCAAAATTTTTTTGTCTAAAATTTTTGGCCCAAATTTTTTTTGCCCAATTTTGTTTTTTGGCCCAAAATATTTTGTCCAAAATTATTTAGTCTTTTTTTGCCAAAATTTTTGTCCAAAATTATTTTGTCTTTTTTTGTCCAAAATTTTTTTGTTCAAAATTATTTGGCCCAATTTTTTTTTGCCCAATTCTTTTTTTTTGTTCAAAATATTTTTTGTCCAAAATTTTTTTTGTCCAAATTTTTTTTGTCCAAATTTTTTTGTCCAAAATTATTTGGCCCAATTTTTTTTTGCCTAATTTTGTTTTCTGGCGCAAAATGTTTTTGTCCAAAATTATTATGTCTTTTTTTGTCCAAATTTTTATTTTGTCCAAAATTTTTTTGCCCAAAATTTTTTTGTCAAAATTTTTATTTTGCCAAATTTTTTTTGTCCAAAATTTTATTTTGTCCAAAATTATTTAGCCCAACATTTTTTTGCCCAATTCTTTTTTTGTTCAAAATATTTTTTTGTCCATATTTTTTTTGTCCAAAATTTTTTTGTCCAAAATTTTTGGTCCAAAATTATTTGGCCCTAAATTTTTTTGCCCAATTTTATTTTTTGGCCCAAAATGTTTTTGTCCAAAATTATTTTGTCTTTTTTTTATCCAAAATTTTTTTGCCAATATTTTTTTCTCCAAATTTTTTTTGTCCAAAATTATTTGGCCCAAATTTTTTTTGCCCAATTCTGTTTTTTGTTCAAAATATTTTTTGTCCAAAATTTTTTGGCCCAAATTTTTTTGCCCAATTTTGTTTTTTGGCCCAAAATGTTTTTGTCCAAAATTATTTTGTCATTTTTTTGTCCAAACTTTTTTGCCCAACATTTTTTTTGTCAAAATTTTTTTGTCCAAAATTTTTTTGTCCAAAATTATTTGGCCCAAAATTTTTCTGCCCAATTCTTTTTTTGTTCAAAATATTTTTTGTCCAAAATTTTTTTTGCCCAATTTTGTTTTTTGGCCCAAAATGTTTTTGTCCAAAATTATTTTGTCTTTTTTTGTCCAAAATTTTTTTATCCAAAATTATTTGGCCCAAAATTTTTTTGCCCAATGCTTTTTTTTGTTCAAAGTATTTTGGCCCAAATTTTTTTACCCAATTTTGTTTTTTGGCCCAACATGTTTTTGTCCAAAATTATTTTGTCTTTTTTTTTTCCAAATTTTTTTTGTCCAAAATTTTATTTTGTTCAAAATTTTTTTGTCCAAAATAATTTGGCCCAAAATTTTTTTGCCCAATTCTTTTTTTTTTGTTCAAAATATTTTCTGTCCAAAATTTTTTTTGTCAGAAATTTTTTTGTCCAAAATTTTTTTTGTCAAAAATTTTTTTTTGTCAAAAATTTTTTTTTGTCCAAATTTTTTTTTGTCCAAAATTTTTTTGTCCAAAATACTTGGCCCAAAATTTTTTGCCCAATTCTTTTTTTTGTTCAAAATATGTTTTGTCCAAAAATTTTTGGCCCAAATTTTTTTGCCCAATTTTGTTTTTTGGCCCAAAATTTTTTTGTCTTTTTTTTTGTCCAATTTTTTTTTCCAAATTTTTTTTTTCCAAAATTTTTTTTTCCAAAATTTTTTTGTTGGCAGCGGTTACGATGAGGGAAAAAAAAGTGGGGTGAAAAAAGGGGTCGTAGAGGGAAGCGATAGGGAAGGATATAGCAACGGTTGCTATGGTAACCGTTGTTCAAATTTTTATTTTACCCAAATTTTTTTTGTCCAAAATTATTTGGCCCAAAATTTTTTTTGTCTAATTTTGTTTTTTGGCCCCAAATGTTTTTGTCCAAATTTTTATTTTGTCCAAATTTTTTTTGTCCTAAATTATTTAGCCTAAAATTTTTTTGCCCAATTCTTTTTTTTGTTCAAAATATGTTTTAACCAAAATTTTTTGGCCCAAATTTTTTTTGCCCATTTTTGTTTTTTGGACCAAAATGATTTTGTCCAAAATTATTTTGTCTTTTTTTGTTCAAACTTTTTTTGCCCAACATTTTTTTTGTTCAAAATTTTTTTGTCCAAAAATTTTTTTTTCAAAATCATTTGGCCCAAAATTTTTTTGCCCAATTCTTTTTTTTGTTCAAAATATTTTTTGTCCAAAATTTTTGGCCATAATTTTTTTTTGCCCTATTTTGTTTTTTGGTCGAATTTTGTTTTTTGGCCCAAAATTTTTTTGCCCAAAATTATCGTTAATCATACCAAGACTTGATATATACCTAATTCTACCATAGCGGGTCAAATGACCCGACTCTATGTTTCATGCTTGAATGTATGAAATATGGATGTTAGGAAGAAAATAAAAATAAAAATTAAATTTATTATAATTAAACAAAATAGTATGTTGAGCATTTCTATTACAAAAGCAAAAATAAATTTTTTTAATTTATAGTTAATCGCATTTTTTACGTATAATTGTGTCCATTGTACATTTTCCGCAAACATATTTTTTACATTTAGAGCAAATTTTGTTGGTTTTATTTTTTTTATAGTATTCTATTTGACATCTCATACGTTTATAAGCATCTGTAGTAGACTTTCGTATTTGTTTCTTGTTTTGGTTATTCACGGACTTCTCGAAAATCGGCGCCAAGTTCTTCTGCTAGCTGGGTAAAAAATCTTGTCGCAAGATATTTTCTCCTGTTGTTTCCTTGTACAAAATCCAGGCACTTATGCCAGCTAAATCAAAGATATCGAAAAAAACTTGGAGAGGCTAATCAGGAAGATTCCACAAAAAGGAAATATTCAAATCATTTGCTCTATATGCAGCTCGAGCATATAAAATTGCAATAAATGCATCTAATTTTTTTTTAAATAAACTCCAATCAGAAACTAACACACTCTTTGCTTCTTCTATTGTGCATGTTCTTATATGGTTCATAATACGGTGATCAATTGTCAATGAAAATGCAGTAATAACTTTACCTTCCATTATATAACGTTTTGCATATCCTGTTGGGCCTACTTCTTGCTTGAAAATGTTATGAAGTGGTGCTTTTCCAGGTGTGACACCTACTTGCATTTGTTGCCAAACAGATCCATCATTCGCAATATCTTGTTCATTTATTTCTACTTCACTTTCTTCCGAATCTGAGAGTAATCTTATTCTTTTTCGGCCACTACATATATTCACAATATTTTCCTCTTCATCGTCAGTATCTGTTGAATCAAACTCATTTTTATTTTCAACCAATATATCTTCATTTTCAGAAGATTCATCTTCACTAATTTCTGAAAACTCTTCGCCAATATTATTTATATCTTCTAATAACTTGTACTGTCTGTTTGCTTCAAAATAAAATATATTCACAATATTTTCCTCTTCATCTTTCTTTCCTCAAAAGCTATTTTCTATCTAAAATTTGATATTTTCTTGAAATTACTCTGAGCTATTTTCGTTAAACTAATTAACGCAACAGTGTTTAGAAGAATGTGCAATTTACTGACTACAAATATGACTCGACAATCTCTTAAACCAAAATTTTCTCTCCGGGTCAAATGACCCATTGTGGTAGATATCGGTATACAAGAAGGATTACTCAGAATAAACAAAACAAAACAAGAAAAAAAAATGTTTATATCTTTACTTTAATTACTTAAAAAAAGTCATGAAGTCAAATGTGCAAACGCAATGAAATTATACGTGCATTTTCAATGCAAAAGTTCAAAATGGGTCATTTGACCCGTTATGGTATGTTTAGTGTTATTTGGCCGAAAATTTTTTTACCCAATATTTTTTTGTTCAAAATATTTTTTGTCCAAATTTTTTTTTGTCCAAAATTTTTTGGCCCAAATTTTTTTTGCCCTATTTTGTTTTTTGGCCAAAAATGTTTTTGTCCAAAATTATTTTGTCTTTTTTTTGCCCAAAATTTTTTTGTCCAAAATTATTTGGCCCAAAATATTTTTGTCCATTTTTTTTTGTTCAAAATATTTTGGCCCAAAATTTTTTTGCCCAATTCATTTTTTTGTTTAAAATATGTTTTGTCCAACATTTTTTTTGTCCAAAATTTTTTTTTGCCCAAACTTTTGTGGTCCAAATTTTTTCTTGCCCAATTTTGTTTTTTGGCCCAAAATTGTTTTGTCTTTTTTTTGCCAAAATTTTTTTGGCCCAAATTTTTTTTGCTCAATTCTTTTCTTTGTTCAAAATATTTTTTGTCAAAATTTTTTTTTGTCCAAAATTTTTTGGCCAATTTTTTTTGCCCAATTTTGTTTTCTGGCCAAAAATGTTTTTGTCCAAAATTATTTTGTCTTTTCTTTGTCTAAATTTTTTTTGTTGGCAGCGGTTGCCATGGCAACGGTTACAATGAACGAAAAAGGTGGGGTAGAAAAAGGGGTCGTAGAGGGAAGCGATAGGGAAGGATATAGCAACGGTTGCTATGGTAACCGTCGTCCAAATTTTTTTTGTCCAAAATTTTATTTTGCCCAAATTTTTTTTGTCCAAAATTATTTGGCCCAAAAATTTTTCTGTCTAATTTTGTTTTTGGCCCCAAATGTTTTTGTCCAAATGTTTTTGTCCAAATTTTTGTTGTCCAAATTTTTATTTTGCCCAAAATTATTTTGCCCAAATTTTTTTTTGGCCAATTTTGTTTTTTGGCCCCAAATGTTTTTGTCCAAAATTTTATTGCCCAATTCTTTTTTTTGTTCAAAATATTTTTGGTCCAAAATTCTTTGGCCCAAATTTTTTTTGCCCATTTTTGTTTTTTGGCCCAAAATGTTTTTGTCTAAAATTATTTTGTCAAAAATTTTTTTGTTCAAATATTTTTTGTTCAAAATTTTTTTTGTACAAAATTTTTTTGTCCAAAATTTTTGGTCCAATTTTTTTACATAATTTTGTTTTTTGGCCCAATTTTTTTTTGCCTAATTTTCTTTTGTTCATTTTTTGCACAAAATTTTTTGGTCCAAATTTTTTTTGCCCAATTTTGTTTTTTGGCTCAAAATGTTTTTGTTCAAAATTTTTTTGTCTTTTTTTGCCATTTTTTTGTCCAAAACGATATCGGGCAAAAAAATTTGGGCCAAAAAATTTTGGACAAAAAAAAATGTGGACAAAAAAAAGACAAAATTATTTGGTCCAAAATTTTGTTGCTCAATTTTTTTTTGTTCAAAATATTTTTTGTCCAAAATTTTTTGGTCCAAAATTTTTTGGTCCAAAATTTTTGGCCCAAATTTTTTTTGCCCAATTTTGTTTTTTGGCCCAAAATGTTTTTGTCCAAAATTATTTTGTCTTTTTTCTATCCAAAATTTTTTTGTCCAAATTTTCATTTTGTCCAAAATTTTTTTGGCTAAATTTTTATTCTGCCAAAATTTTTTTGTCCAAATTTTTATTTTGTCCAACATTTTTTTGTCCAAAATTATTTGACCCAAAATTTTTTTGCTCAATTCTTTTTTTGTTCAAAATATTTTTTGTCCAAATTTTTTTTGTTCAAATTTTTTTTGTCCAAATTTTTATTTTGTTCAAAATTTTATTTTGTCCAAAATTTTTTGTCCAAAATCTTTTTGTCCAAAATTTTTTTGCCCAATTCTTTTTTTTGTTCAAAATATTTTTTGTCCAAAAATTTTTTTGTGCCAAATTTTTTTGTCCAAAATTATTTGGCCCAAAATGTTAGTTAAAATGTTGTTCACAATCGTGACTGTTTCCCTGGTAGAATAAATGATTTTAGTACAAAAAATATTTAATTCCATATAAAATCTCGTCAAAATCGTTTCGATGTATTAGGAGAACAGTCACATTTTTACATTTGACAGCGCCATTTTAATTCAAAATCATGACTGTTTCCATGGTAGAATAAATGATTTTAGTACGAAAAATATTCAATTTCATACAAAATCTCGTCAAAATCGTTTTGATGTATTAGGAGAACAGTCACATTTTTACATTTGACAGCGCCATTTTATTTCAAAATTGTGACTGTCCCCCTGGTAGAATAAATGATTTTAGTACGAAAAATATTCAATTTCATACAAAATCTCGTCAAAATCATTTCTATGTATTTGGAGAACAGTCACATTTTTACATTTGACAGCGCCATTTTAATTCAAAATTGTGACTGTTCCCCTGGTAGAATAAATGATTTTAGTACGGAAAATATTCAATTTCATACAAAATCTCGTCAAGATCGTTTTGATGGATTAGGAGAACAGTCACATTTTTACATTTGACTGTGACTGTTTCCCTGGTAGAATATATGATTTTAGTACGAAAAATATTCAATTTCATACAAAATCTCGTCAAAATCGTTTCGATGTATCAGGAGAACAGTCACATTTTTTACATTTAACACACGTTGACTGAAACTTTTGTGTTGTGCACGACGTGCAATACAGCTAGGAAAATGTTAGTCAGAGCTAACACAAAATTTTCAGTAAAATTAATTTGGCATAGCAACCATTGCTATGGTAACCGTCATAGCACACGACGTGCAATACAGCTAAGAAAATGTTAGTCAGATCCGTACCGTTATTCGTATTCCTCAAAAAAAAAAAAAAAATGTATGCCTCGCCCGCCGCAAGCCCTAAAGAGCGACAGAAATGTCGCTGTATGAGCCGGGGTGGCGATGCGGGTACCGCCGCAAGGGTGTTCCGTACGCGAGAAGCAATTCAATTCAATTCAAAGACTATATATTTCAGTATATAAAAGTATGTACATTGCATTTTATAACATGGGTTTTTTACCCGTAGGTATTGTATCCTTCATTGGATTTGGTTTTGCAAACAATAATTGATTCAGAATATATAAATAAATTCATATTTGTGTGACAAAAAAGAGGAAAGAAAATTTATTCCCCAAAAAAAAAATCACTCAGCACTATTTATAATAACGCATAATAAACGCGACAAGCAATAAAAGGAATTTAATTATTAACTGTGCAGACAGTACTGCACAGCGTGCGTTATGAGCTGTAAAAAATATATAACTTGTCATCAGTACAGCACAACGATAGTTAGAAACGGAAAAAATAACAAAATTTAATAAAAACCTGTATTTAAACTTTTCAAATAAATTAACATTTATCCTTCAATATTTTATGTCAAAATTGAATCCAACTCGGAGATCGACGACAACTTTGAAACATGTCGCGATTGCTAGTCGACTAGAGACCCGGTCGACCAAAGTCGGATCCAAAAAAAAAGTCCAGATAAGACGACCCAATCAGAATCTGCTCCTGGCAAAAGTTGAGTTGACACTCAGTACATTGTGCCAAGTGCAATAAAACAGCTGCTAGGTCGTTATTTCATAATCGACCTTGCAGTATTTCGAAGCGTGTGCTGTATGCATAAATGCCGAATGCATTTATGTTTGGCGCCATCTCGTGCCATGTTTTATAATAACTGGCAGGTTCACCGTGTTCACAGTAAAATTACCAATACGTTTCTTTAATCAAAATGTAACAGTTACATATTAATTAATTATTATTTTTGTATCACTATTTGAAATAAATAATTAGGTACGGTGCAAAAGTTTTTGGTCAAAAAAATTAAAATGGAAAAAATTTTTTGGGAAAAAAATTTTTGGACAAAAAAATTTTTGGTCAAAAAAACTTGGGTCAAAAAAATTTTGACCCAAATTTTTAGTCAAAAATTTTTTGGAAAAAAAAATTTTGGTCTGAAAAGTTTTCGAAAAAAACTTTTTGGTCAAAAAAATTTTTGATCCAAATTTTTATTTTCCCAAAATTTTTTTGCCCAAATTTTTATTTTGCCAAAATTTTTTTGTCCAAATTTTTATTTTGCCCAAAATTTTTTTGTCCAAAATTATTTGGCCCAATGCTTTTTTTTGTTCAAACTATTTTGGCCCAATTTTTTTTGCCCAATTTTGTTTTTTGGCCCAAAATGTTTTTGTCCAAAATTATTTTGTCTTTTTTTGTCCAAAATTTGTTTGTTCAAATTTTTTTTGTCCAAAATTTTTTTGTCCAAAATTTTTGGCCCAAATTTTTTTTGCCCAATTTTGTTTTTTGGCCCAAAATTTTTTTGTCCAAAATTATTTGGCCCAAAATGTTTTTGTCCAAAATTTTTTGTCCTTTTTTTGCTCAAAATTTTTCGTCCAAAATTTTTTCGTTCAAAATTTATTTGTCCAAAATTTTTTTGTTCAGAATATTTTTGAACTAAAAAAGACGAGATAATTTTGGACAAAAAGATTTTGGGCCAAAAAACAAAATTGGGCAAAAAAATGGGCCAAAAAAATTTGGACAAAAAAAAATTTTGGACAAAAAAAAATTTGGACAAAAAATACTTTGAGCAAAAAAGAATTGGGCAAAACAATTTTGGGCCAAATAATTTTGAACAAAAAATTTCGGACAAAAAAATTTTGGACAAAAAAAAGGCAAAATAATTTTGGACAAAAACATTTTGGGCCAAAAAAATTGGGCCAAAATATTTTGAACAAAAAAAAGAATTAAGCAAAAAAATTTTAGACAAAATAAAAATTTGGACAAAAAAGACAAAATAATTTTGGACAATAACATTTTGGGCCAAAAAACAAAATTGGGCAAAAAAAATTTGGGCCAAAAAATTTT